CATGTGTCAGCAGGAGGTCAGGTTAGATCATAAATATGAGGTTCGATACAACACCCCAATACAGCACATTTCTTCACGGCATCTGAACTAAGAGTCAAATTAGCACTTAGAACAGGTATAACCTGATAAGATTTATTTATGCAACATCAGGACTAAGTCGTGCCCTTTAGTGGTGTGATGAGACAGAGACGCAAACGCGATATGAATTGCTTATTACCTGGTGACGTCACTTATGCCAACCCAACCAACTGACACAGATTACAAGTTACGCGCAAAACAATGTCCTCGTTGTTGACGCATCCACGCTGAAGATTACAAGGCGGGTTCGACAAAAGGTGAGATGAGAGCAGTCCTTTAACCGTGTGACAAAATCGATCACACAGTCATCAGCACAAAGCCCGCAAGGACAGCACTGGCGTTCTATACCAAGCCGCGTTATACAGCTTAGCCAATGTCGAATGCGAGCAAAAACCAATGCTGGCTGATCACGTACCAAATTACAGACAACAGCCCCAAGCAGGCGACAGAATGAGCGGATAGCCCTCATTATCAGCCGGCGCGTCAGGTGTCCTGCTGATCACGCCGCGCGTGGGAGCAGCAGACACAGCAGGCCGCGACCCAGACACCGTGTCCGTAGAGCCCAGCGGTCCACACAGAATGGTTCAGCAGCCCGGTGGTCCACACAGAGCGACTCAGCAGCCCGGAGTGGGACCACACAGAGCGGTTAAGCAGCCCGGCGGTTCACATAGAGCGGCTCAGCAGCCCGGCAGCCCGCACAGAGCGGCTCAGCAGCCCGGCGGGCGACACAGAGCGGCTCAGCAGCCCGGAGTGGGACCGCACAGAGCGGCTCAGCAGCCTGGCGGCCCACACAGAGCGGCTCAGCAGCCCGGCGTGGGACCGCACAGAGCGGCTCAGCAGCCCGGCGTGGGACCGCACAGAGCGGCTCAGCAGCCCGGCGGCCCACACAGAGCGGCTCAGCAGCCCGGAGTGGGACCGCACAGAGCGGCTCAGCAGCCCGGCGGCCCACACAGAGCGGCTCAGCAGCCCGGAGTGGGACTGCATCGGCACGTGACCGCGGGGCGACAGCTGCGAACGCCTTGCCCTTGGATGGGACGCTATGCAGATCGAGCAATGGACGGGTTTCACGGGGACGTATCGAGGAAATGCTTTCAGGTTTTTGACATTTATTTAATCAACTTCGTGGAATCAGTAGTGCTTTTCAAATGTTCGATTACATGATTCCCAGAAAATACACTGGGTGAGGACTAGCGCAAGCTGTTTTGCAAAATAGATGTGCTTAGGGAATATGATGATGTACATATGCAGGGATAGCTCAAAATCTTAAGATGCTTAAAAAAAATGGAATTGCGTCGAAGCGCAGCTATGAAACGGCTAACACGCTGATGGTAATGAGGCATGCACCAATATCGAGGAACGACACGAAAAGCCCACCTTCAACCATAATGCAGACCCCGTGTTAGCCCTTATTCCATCCAAGAGCAGATTGTCAGCGCATAAGCTACGGATCATTCCGGCCCTGCGGGCCACGTTTCGGGCGGCGGACAATATGGCGGACGGACAGCAGCAGATAAAAGGCGACCAGAGGTAACGATACGATGTGGACAACACTGAGCAGCTCCAACGATCACTGCGACATCCCAGCGCGGCGGAGACACGGCTGACAGAAGCAATCGTGGCAGACGCCTCCTCTTCACGGACGACAAACCGGACGCCGCACACGCTGCGGACAGACGACGGCCAGCGCCCCTGGCGGCGGCGATGGCGGCGACTCACGGTGATGATGACCTTGCTGGCCACCCGCTCCACGAATCTCGTACCCATCACCGTGTCGGTACAGCCGCGTGATCTCGTCCAGCTCCTGCTCGTCCGCCAGAGAGGACAACGACACCGTGTCCGTAGCCCATGGCGGCACGCTCCGAACCCCCGACGACCTCGGGTGACTTCAGAGGACGCGGGAGACCCGGCGCGACCTCGGAGACCAGCCTCGGGGTTGCGACCGGAGCGATGACGCCCAGCGCCCGCAGGCGAACAGGCCTCGCGGCTGGGACGCGGCGCGTCACGTGGCTGGTGAGACTGGCGCTCGTGTGCAGGTCTTCAGAGCACCCGGCGCCGACCAAACAGGAGCAGGCTTTCAGAGCACCTGGCGCCGACCAAACAGGAGCAGGCTGGAGGTTTGGAAGTACGCGTGGGTGGTGGCCCGTTACTGTAGCTTCATTAACTTAGCACTTTTGGTAAGCTCAATCAACGAACCGCATCGAAATGTCCCAACAAGTCGTGGTCGGATACACCGGCGGGTAACGCAGTCCTTCGTCGTCGATGTGCACCGCGTCGTCGCCACCTGCAGAGCATGACACGGGTTCCGCTCGGAGAGAGAGCGCAGGCTTGGGTCGGGGCACGCCCGCCGCGCTATCGCAGACGCTCCTCTGTCGCCACACCACTAATGCTGGTCACAGAAGCTATCAGGTAATGTGCCCTCCCCGGGGTGGCCTGAGATCACCGCACACGTACAGTACATCGCTGCCGGTGCCATGGGCCTCTGATAAGACACACCCGGAGCCCCCCCCCCCCCCCCCCGGATGCGCGATGGGCTTATCGAGAATGATGCCATTAAACGCCGATAACGCGCCGCTGATACGGCACCTCTGGTGCAGCAATCCCCTTTTTGTTATCGGTTGTCGCGTCCAAGTTTGACATGCGACGATCTGCATTGTCACCTAGAGCTCCGCTGAAACCTTTCTCCGGATGGAGGCGGCTGTCAGAGACTCACCGGAGAGGCAAGCCTGCTTTGGAAGGGAAACGCAGAATAGATCAGCACGAAGATTAAATTCTTTGCTGTCCCCCGCCCCTCAAATTGCGGATGCAAGGTATCTCGACTAAACCCTTTCCGTGTCCGCTGCTAACCCAACGGCAGCCGTTTACTGACCTATATCTGCTGCACACAGCCGGGGCACTGTCACTAGCAACAGGGTCGTGTCCGCTCCCTATCAAGCGATCAGCGCGCGGCAAAAAGGCCACCGCCCGCATCGGCTGAACCCCAGTTTTTGTAACTGGCTCTTCCATACAAGTGTGCCGCGTCACACCACGTCACAATCGCACCACGAATGCCGCGACCGCGCTAAGATCGCCGCAAAATCAATCTCGAGCCGGGCTTGGCTGCTAAGACAAACAGTTTTGAAATTGCAAACGGTGCGGCGGCTACCTCTTAGCGGGTTTCGAGGACACGTGAAATTCATAGGAAGTCGTGTGACCACTTACTAGAGTATTTCCAACAGACACCGCTAGGCATAGCTTGTTGTGTGGGCGCATCCGCCGCCACTCAAGTGGGTTCGAGTTAATAGCAATTTCGTTATACATGTGTTCGCCGCTGGCGGTTCAAGCGCGCTTCCATCAGATCCATCGACATGATCACCGGACACTGTACGCCATCACACAAACTTGGAAACAAGATTTAGCGAACGGTTCCATGTCAATGCCATGACATCAGCGAGAGTTTGAGAAATCAAACAAGTTTTGAAGAATCAAAAAACGTTTTTAATTTGCATGCACAAAAGTAGCTGAAGACACGACACCGTCTTGCAGCATAGCTGCGTTCAAGACGCGGGAACCAAGACATGCGTTTCGGTGTGGTGGTACATCGGTAGACCTCCTGTCCTAGCTGAGAGCGCGACTGCACATACGATTGCCGAGTATGCCGCACACTTCACCCACACTATTGGTGTATATAAGATATGGCGCGTGGACAAGCACACTTAAGGACGCCTATTGAAAAAGCACATACATTTTGTTCACTGCACTGATGGTGTCTGTGGGGCTGACTGGACGGCTAGAGAATTACACATGAAGACAGCAGGGCTCCGGACAGACTTTTGCAGACTCGCTGAGGTTCCCAATCAAAGTAGTTGGAGCATAGCAAGGCAGCCCAATCGTTTCCGGCCTCAGTGGCGACTTTTCACCGGTTTTATCATTGGCGATCATCAGCGGCGATCACCTGCTTTCAATTACACGATCAACACAAATGAGAGATGCGCAGAAACAACGACGCTTCATGGGCGAGGGGCTGAGACAACTGCTAAAGTAAATGTCGTAAACTGATGGGGCGATGCATGGTACGTATGCATGATGTATGTCGTAATGCCGGCGTGCTCAGCAGCCTCAGCACCCCCGCATTCTTCCTCGGCATACCGTGTGCGTGGGCACAGTTTTCCGTTGCGTGTTGCACCAGTGATGTTCGCACCTCCGCTGTGTTGAGCAATAATCGGAGTGGTGAAAGTCAGGCGCAGTCAGTACAGCTGCAGCTGCATTGAAGGAAACCGCCGCTCCATGGAGTGGCGGTTTCTGCAGATGACAGCAATTGCCACATTCGCAGAGGGCTGCACCGAAACCTGCCCGGTTCCCATCAGGACGTTTGCATTGATTTCAGCAATCCGCAGGGCGGTCAGCATCGTGCCCATTTCTCCTTTGTCAGTTACCGCAGAAGATGACACAGCACGCCGCTGCGCAGCCAGCAGTCGTGCCCGTCCCTGGATTCAGCCTATTCACTCCAGCTACCTCGGTTGACGGTGCGAATATCGCACTATGAGCAGACCCTCGGAAAGCCGGAATATCCGATGTCGCCGACAAAAACTCCGGGGTTTCCTTGGAGCGTCGAGGACAGCTATCGTCTGTCCATTGTGCGTTAAACCGCTCACTCCCGGCTAAGGCGTCGGCTATCCAGCGACCTTTGACCCGCCGGCCAGAATCCATCTCCGCGACCTACAGCCGCGTGCAATCCCAAGCTTTGCACGCCGGTCCGGTGACGCACACCTCTTCCCTGCAGCGGCGGCGGCCCGCGGCGAGCGCCGCCACCCCGTGACCCGCGTGACGCGTGCTCTCTTTCGGAGCAGCGGCACCGTGACGGGTGTCACCGCGCTAGCATTGACACCGCGGCCGGCTCTCTCCGCCGCCGCCACCGAGAGCTTTCTCGGCTGGGTGACGCTCACGGATCACGAGCCGGCGCCGCTCGTGAGGAACCGTGAACCCACGAGGCGCGCGCGCGCGGGCTTTCGCCGCCAGCTGGGAGCGGCCTCTGCCGGCCCGGCGCCGCCGAACAATGCGTACTTACGCGGGTAACAATGACCATATTAGGGCGTCAGCTCATTCCCCGCCGTGAATCTGGAACGAAAACAAACGGGTTATTAGGACGATCCACGGCGAGCGTTCCGCACTCACCGCCGGTACACATCACGACACAATCACGGCGGCGGCAGCGGCGGCGAGCAGCGGCGGCCGCGCGCGTCCGGGACCCGGCCTGGACACGTGACCAGCGGAAACAAGCCACTCGGAGCGCGCCGTGGCGACCTGCGCGGCGGAGGTCCGAGAGGCGCCCCCTGTAACGGGCCGGGTGTGCAGCGATGCGTGACTGGCCGGCGCGGAGCGTGCCGGAGGGGCCGGCGGCGCGGCATCCAAAGCTCTCGGAGGTCTCCTCGGCCGAGTGCGCTGACCAGGACGTCTCGTTCGACGGACACGCGGGTCAGTCCCCGCCACTGCCGACGGGTGTAGATGCATGCGTTTAAATTGTGGTTCTGAGCAGTTATGGTGGCATTATTTCGAACGTTTAGAGATTTCAAGTCCTGTCACCGAGTGCGAAAACCTGAATCAAAATCTGGATGTCGAAATTTCCTGTCCGCAATCCGGAAAATTGATGTTACCACTGAGAACAGTCTATCGATGCTTATTCGCTTTCCCACACCTTTGAAGCAGTGATCCGCCGCGCTGATGGATAATATGCAAACAGAATGACTCTATCCGATGTCAAGCGTTAAGCTCAAAGACTGGGCTTGAGTCTGAAGGTACCTTCCGCCATCCAGAGCCCGCCGGACTAGTGTTCCGCCTCGACGCACTAGAGACGCTCCAGAGAGGCCCACATGGGCGCGGGCACAGCCAACCCAGGGACGTGGGAACGCGGAATGCCATGAGATCGAACACCAAGCGCCGTCCCTTGCTGTCCTGTCCGAACAGTGGATCTGCACCCCTGTTCCAGTGTGCGCCTCCCGGCCGCCCCGCCGCCCCTTGAGCCTCGTCCGCCGTCACCGGCGCCGCGTCGCCCCGCGGCGGCGGCTGCGGCGGGGCGGCGACTGGCGGTGCCCAGTCGCCGCCCCGCCGGCTGGCCGGATGTGATGATGCCGCTTCCGGTGCCGAGCGGACACGCCCCGAACGGCCGGCGGCCAGCGGCACGCGCCCCGCCTCGCCGGCGGCCCCCCGGCCGGGTCAGGCCGCCGCCGCCGCCGCCGCCGCTGCCGCCGCGCCGTTCGGCTCAGCAGCAGCTGCCGCGGGCCGCCGAGGCCGCGCCGGTGGCGACAACGCGCCGGATGCGCCGCAGGACCGGCAAGGTCGGCCACAGCGCCGCGTCATTCAACTACTGATTTTCACACGCCGCCCTCAGCGGTCTCTGGCTGGATGGGCTATTTCGTTTGCTGGGATTCAAAAGGCGGCCATGCCCTTAGCTCACTTCGGGAGACTTCTTAAGAAAAACGAAAATGTTTATGTCTTATCAAAGGAGAAAGACACATTGCTTGCGCCGATTGACAGCGCTGAATATGGAAGTCAAAGCGAAAGAAAATCACACTTAAGACGATTAGAGCATGTGTGCAACAGATGCGCAGCTACGCCCCACAGCCCTGCATAATGAGCATGCACACTAGACCGCTGACAGTACAGCTCCATACAGCCTCCAGAACCGACCGTGTTCCGATCATCCGCGATGCCTCAACGCGGCCGTTGGAAGCCGTCCAGTGCGGGAAGAGACTTAGTTGCTCCTAAACCGAGAAAGGACCCCTTCGGTCTCATCCTGATCATCCTCATCCAGCACCATCATCGGTATCACAGCCATCAGAAAACATCCTCACGCCCCCCTAATCTCAGCTCATCATAATTCCGGTAACTAGACCTCCGCTCGGCCCGCCGAGCCCTAACCTGCTGTCACATGACCCTCCGCCAGACGCGCCGGCAGGGGCCGGTCGCCGGGCCAGGTGCCGGCTGCCGCGGCCTCGGCTGACGCTGAGTCACCTCCACCGCGTGACCCCGCCCTCCCCCTCCCTCAACAGCAGGCCCGGCCGGTGACAACCGCGGCCCGGCGTCAGCTGCGTCAGCTGCAGCGGCGGCGGCGGCGGCGGCGAGGTTCCAGCCAGCCGCGCCGCCACTGGGTTATGCAGCGCGGCCGGGGCCGGCCTGACCTTGACGCGGGGTTGACGACCCGAGCCGCGGCGCGCGCCGACCGCCGTGACCGCGGCGGCGGCGGCGGCGCCGGCGGCGGCCCGCACCGGCGATGCGCCGGGCACAGGCCGAGAGGAACACCGGCAGACGTGGAGGAGGCAGTGGACCCCGGCAACGCGTGTTTGCAGAAAGGCTGGCGGGAGGCCGGCTGGAAGCTGACGTCGCCATGGTAACACGGTCCACATTCACCGGCCAGGTCATCCCAGCAGCAGCCAACAGTGCTGAAGACTATCTCAAGTACTCATCTTCCCGGAGTTGATTCTCTTCCCAGTCTGCGCCTTCATCAGTCAGTCAGCGAGAGCTTCAGCACGTCCGCTCCGGTACCTCAGGCAGCACCCTAGGCTCCGCTGATCACCCGAGTGATGATGCCCAGCTCCGCAGTCCGGTTCCGTTTGCCGGCCGTCTGCATGCCGCGGCCGAACGAGCTTGGCCATTGCCACCATTGTCGTCAGGCATCGCCACCTTGACCTTTTGACAGAATCTGTTCTCAGTCAGGTGGTGCTCACGCATTACCGCCCTGCCGCGCAGGAAGCGAAGCAGGCGCGATTCATGGCGGGGTCCTGACTGGGCCTCGGCCGGGCGGCAGCTTCAGTCGGACATGATCAGGGCCTGCCTACATTTTCAGCGTGCTTGGACTGAGCCTCACCGCCTCAGTTTCGTCACGCTCCTCCCCTTCCTCTGGGTGAACATGCCGCCGTGGTAGAACAATGGCTGGAGACGGAGTCGCGTCCGCGTCAGCAGAACATTTTAATTAGGGCAAAAAACCTGCCCACCGGAGGGTGAATGTGCGGCTCGCTTCTGAAGGAGGAACACACCGTGAGACGCGCCGGATACGCAGTTCGGGGGTAGCCCTCCGCGGTGGCCACGGCTACTTCCTTTGGAGACCTGACCAGTTTGGACGACGAGGAAGTTAACTGCTTTCCACATTATGCAGGAAGGTCGGGAATGTGCCGCTTATAGGGTTTATTCTTCCTTTATTGTGCCGAGGGTACTTCCCTGTCCATAACTGACTTCGGAGGAGCGTAAAATGGGAAACAATGGCGGTGGAGTACAATGCCTTGTATCTCTGCATAAACAATGGCAAAATGGAAGCCTCGTAAACCAAACAAACTGCGTGGAGCGTCTTGACAGATTCTACGTGAAGCTCTGCTATCCTGCGAAGTCATTTAAACGTCAGCTTTATCTATGTCACAACACTTCGGCGACGGTGCCAAAAAGGTTCTCACAACGAGGCGAACGAAAACTTCTCAATCACGATGACTACCCTTTAGAGGACTTCACGGGCCAGACAAACCCGTGCATATCGATGCAGGATGGGTTACAGACCAGACTGGGTACGAGTTTGAGGACTATTACAGGTATGGCTAAGGTTATAGGCAACACAGTTTGGAAATGTTGTGTAGATCCTTGAGAAATACTGCTTTATGTCACTGTTGGCGCTCATTTCTGTCCGAATTAGCTTCGTTCACAATAACTTGGCAATTATCAAAGCAAAAGGGTGAGTATGAGTGTTACTTTTCCTGCAACTCCTTCAAAGTCTAAGCGTTGTAAAACTGCAAACAGGTGGTTCACAGGTGGGTACAGATGATTACGAATGGGTAACGCGTAGGCGTGGGCAAGGTCCCTGGATAGCCTGTGGATCAGGTTAAGGAAATCTGTCAAGTGAGTGCCGCCATTAGCGCAGAAGCCTCGAGCTATTTACGTTCAGTATCTAACGTAAAAAAGGTCTCTGACGCAGAGCCATAACTGGCTTCCTGACGCCCGCTCCCTGTACTCTGTAAGTTATATAAAACTTTGAAGTGAACATCGCTGCGTGAACTTTCTCGACCGGCGCTCCCGCTGAAGCTGTCGGTGCCCTTCCCGTGTGCTCCCGCTGAAAATGCTGGTGCGCCTGCCGTTTGTTCCCACTGAAGCTGTCGGCGCGCCTGCCGTGTGCTCTCGCTGAAAATGCTGGTGCGCCTGACGTTTTTTCCACTGAAGCTGTCGGTGCGCCTGCCGTGTGTTCACGCTGAAGCTATCGGCTGCCGTGTGTTCCCCTTGCAGCTGTCATTGCGCCTGGCGTGTGTTCCCGCTGAAGCTGTCGGCTGCCCTACGTTCTCGCTGAAGCTGTCGGTGCGCCTGGCTCGTGCTCCCGCTGAATCTGTCGGTGAGCCTGCCTGTGTTCCCGCCGAAGCTGTCGGTGCGCCTGCCTGTGTTCCCGTTGAAGCTGTCGGTGCGCCTGCCGTGTGTTCGGTCGCTCGGCCGGCCGGAGCGGTGACGCCAGTTGAGCTGCTGACGGTGCTCGGCCATCCACAATGGCGGCTGGCCGGCCGGCGTGTAACGGTGCCTGGCTGGGCGGCTGTGCGGACGGCGCACCAGATGCGCGCCGCCGCCGCCGCCGCCGCCGCCGCCCGGTTCTGGGTTAGACGCCGCCGGGCCGGCCCGGGCCGAGAGCAGCGCCGTCTCGGCCCGGCTCGAGCGGGGTAGGATAGGACCGCAGGATGGAAATGGGGCGGGGCTGGGCCGAATGGGGTGGGGATGGGACAGGGGTGTGCCAGGGCTGGCTGGGATGGGGGCTGGTGCCAGCGGGGCCGAAGTGGACGAGAGTTTCTCACGGCTGGGTTAAAGGGAGGGGACGTGAGACGAGGTGACACAGGCCACACGAAATCCGGCGGCCATCGCTAGAGCCGTAAGCTGGGCCGACAGGTGCCGCCGCGTGACCGAGCTCCGCCCGAGCGCGATGACACCGGTCCGTCCTGTCCCACTTCCGCACCTGAAGCTGGCCCAGTCGGCCGGCACGCGCGCCCGCCTCCCCGGACGGGAGATAGAGCTCGCTCCGGGCGGCGGCGACGGAGCAGCGCAGCGCCGGCACCGCCCAGACGCGGGGTGGCGCACCTGACAGCCGACGTGGGATCGGCCAG